ATGTCTACTGATACAAGAGGTGATGCTCGTGCTATCGTCTTCCTCCTTTTACGAGTGGAAGTGGATGCTCGAGGGATGAAATGTGTTGTCGGAGTAGGTAGAGGTGTTTTGTGAGAACATGTCGGTGGGGTACTAGCCTAGAATGTTGATGGTGGGGATAAAATCTGTGAGGTCAGTGTAGGACGACGATGAGACATAGTCTTTCTTGTCTCAACAATATAGTTGTCATATGAGAGGGGTGGTAAGTGAAGAGAAGTAGACCTTGACAGTGATAAAGTATTTTTCTGTCGACAGGTATGAATAGTGTCCAAAAACCGTACAGTGTGTACAAAAATGAGGTAATCTCTTATATATAATAGTTTGGTAGATTTTCTCATCCCCATTCTGCACAATAGTCATGTGCTGAAGGGGGGCTAAGAGGTCTACCTCTACACATACACGGGCATGTCCTAGACAATTGAACATTTTAATGTCTGGATCTAGGCGTATAAATATTGACTGTATTTGCCAAGGACTCAAGTGCCTTGGGCATGAATAGATATGCTGGCAAGCTCAGAAAATCAATCCAAACTAGAGTAGAGTGGGGTTATTTCCCTCGAGAGGTGCCATCAATATATGGGGTCCATCTATGAGTGTACATAATAGTATTTTGAATCTCCCATGTGGTCTAGCTCTAGACTTTCCAATAGTCAACCTCAAGCTCGAATCGGATGAAGACACTCCAGTAATCACGAGCACCAATGGCTACATTTCCTTGAAAGTGTCCAAGGGCTAAATATATTTTCTAGATGTCATCTAAGTGATGACGTTTTGTGGTAAACGTCCTATCAATACAAACTGGAATGCCTCAGCTAACTAAGAGACCTCTTTCAAGGAGAATGAGACTATTCTCATTCTTTCTTCCTCAATGTAACCTCGTGGTAAGAGGTCCGTAGTGTAGATAGGAAGTAATAGAGCTCGATGTGTGTTCTGAGTTGTAGGAGTAAGCTGTGTTCTTGTAAGTTGCTGGGCTCAAGTCTTGGTTGAGGTTTGAGTGGGCTGGGCTGACATATTAGGAGTTTGTGTGAACTAGGTTAGTATGGCTAGGGCTTGAATTTAGATTTGGACTAGCTCTGCCCACGTAGGTCCTACTTTGGCAGTAGTGGGCCACATGTGCTTGGGCTCAAACATCCTTAGGTTTCACGGCATTGGGTGGTGCTGCCTCAGCTTGAGCAGGTGCCACCACCACCATAGTGGTGCCGCCCTTGTCAGCCCCCACTAGTGGGGATGTGTTGGCTGCCAGGACTGAGGTAATGGCGTCAGTAGAATGTGGTGCCTTCATCTCAGCTCCCTCCTGTCCGTTGATCTCAAGATCAAAGGTCAGATGATGACTAGCTGATTCTAAGGAAAGGCCACCACTTGACGCCTTCTTTTTGGAAGTTGACAAGTCCACATCAACCTCCATTGGGGGGGATGCCATGGGTATGAGGACCGAGGTAATGGCATCAGCAGAATGCGGTGCCTTTATCTTGGCTCCCTCCTGTCCGTTGATTACAAGATTAATGGTCAGATCAAGGACCGAAGCTGATGAGTCCATGTTAGTCGACACCGTCCCCACATCTCTCACCTTTTCCTCTCGTCAATCCTCACCGTTAATCTCATGATCAATGGTGAGGTCAAGGGAGACGGCACCACGTGCCCTCTCCCCTTTCCCACAGAGCGAGGGAATGGTCTCAAGAGCCATCCCCTCGTTTGCAGAAATTGAGGGGGCATCTGCCAACGACAAATCAATGCCATTCTTAAGGTGGCCGTTCTGCCCATTGACTCCCCTGATTTCCAGGTCATCAATAGGCCCCTCAGATGGCATTTTATCATCATAGGTGAGTCCCCCCATGTGGCAGTTTTCTATTCGGTCGCATGTTTATCTCGTTGAACAATTTTGGTAACAATACTCTGTGAATCACATTGACAAGATTTTCACTGATGATCTAGTGATTCTGGCGGCTTAATCTTTCACCGGCAATCTATAGAAAAGTCACGATAATTAGATAAAAAATATGAGTTTTGGTTCTAAAAGGATTTAAACCCACGCCGATTACTCATCTACATAAGAGAGATTGAAATAAGTACTCTAATCTCCTTATAAAATGATGTCATCATCATATATCTCTATTATAATTAAGAAATATTATAGGTATTAAAATCATCAAAGCCTTTTGAGGAAGGTGTGACGTAGGTTTAGTCTCACATTGTTTGTGCACCGAAGTTTCGGATGAATATATAGTAATATTATATTTACAAGTAAGTTCTTTTCTTATACATGTACGACCACTCCTTGCCCCACAACTAGCTGACCACTAGTGACCTAGAAAGGGAGTGGCACACACATGCCCTTATCGGTCGTAGCCACTTGAGCCTTTGCTCATGGCTCCTCCCTGACTACACTTTTGACCTACTTGTAGGCCCGACTAGTTGACGGATACCCCCCATCTTGCTATATTTTTATTTTTATTTCTTTTTCTTCATTTATCTCAAAAGTAAGATTATAAGAATCATATAAATTCATATAAAATCACATAATTACTCAAAAATTCACGTTAATCAATTGAAAACCTCTTTTCAAACTTTAACATAAATATAAGTCTATTTATCATGAGTTAAGGTTAAAACTATATTATTTACTAATTATTAACTCATGATAATGAAAACTTATCAATGTCTTTTTTGTTGACCATTGGAGTGCTTCAAGGGGATCCTTGCTCAAGAGTTCTTGGACTTGCCTCTACTAAAGTTCTTGGGCTTGCTCTTCTTGTCTTTTAGGTAACTCCTCTCCCAAGAATAGAATGTGTTTTCTATATCCTTCTTTGAGCTTTTATACACCTTTAAGCTTAGATCTCAGCCCTTAGATCCTCTTCAAGTATGCACAACCATAGGATCTCCCACCCACTTGTTAGAAGACCAAGAGATGTGTGTGTGAGAGAAAATTATGTAGTTAATGGGTTGATTATGGAAAAGAGAGAGAGTGAGAGTGGAGGGAATAGTTGAAATTCAGCTATTACTCAAGATGTAGAAAATTCTATGAATAGGGAATTATTTTTCACAAAAAAAAATTTAAAATTCATTTAAACATAAATAAGACCTAAAAAATTAAAAAAATTTGGAAAATCCTCAAAAATTTGAAAATACATCTTGAACATAGTAATTCATTCTAAAAATGACATTTATTTAATAATTAATATTTAAGTGAAATAAATAAATAAATAAATATGCTATAATAAATATAGAAATTTAGATAGTGTATTTTGAACATTGATCATAAGTTACGTTTCACTTATTTTATGGACAATTAAATGTCATTTTACATGAAATTAAGTACTAATTGTCTAAATTATGCCATAATTTAATGTGGAATTTGCATGTTATCATATTCAACCTTAGATATCCTGCTCTATTGGCAATTGACTTATTCATTCTATCTACCACACAACTTTATTGTTGTGCTTTTCTAATAGTATAATGTCTCATAATCACATGCTCTTCACAATACCTCAAAAACTAAACACCACTATACTCTTCCCTATTATCAATCTTAAAAACTTTTGCCTTAATTCTGGGCTACCTATCAACCCTACTTTCTATTACTTGAAATTTGAAAAAATCCCTCAAACAGGCTTCCATAAAATAGACAAACGTTTTTGGGGTAATCATCAATAAAACTTAGTAATAGGAATGCTCTTTTGGCAATACATTCACTATCCCCAAACATCATAGTGAACATAATTTGAGACTCACCATTTTGACATTACATTCATGCCCCAAACATCAAAATGAATATAAATTCAACACTCATGTGTTCTTATAGAGGTGTTCTAATTTAAAATATTTTCCCTTAATAGAATACTTGACAAGTTATAATTTACAAGTTTTGACCCAACCTCAAACTAGTTTGTATTTCTCATAGAGCCTTCAAGCACCACTGATGAAGCTCCACCTACAACAATACTCCTTAAAAATCTAAAAATATTTCATTGTAACCTAGTTTCATCATTACATATGGTTCTTTACAAACCTACAAGATTCCATTTTGACCCTTGAAAGTATATTCATTTGAATATAATATTCTTAAGGAAATTAGTTTCTTCTTGAGATCACAAAAGTGTCTCACATTTGCTAAAGTTCTAGAGGTCGCATCAAATAACTTGATTTGTATTGCTATTAATTCCAATGAGCATACAAGAAATGTCAGTGTATGTTACAACATAACATGAATCCAGTGACATGTAGGTATCGAACAAGTCCAAATTTGGACAGATATAGTATGAAAACCTTGTGTCAAGTCTAGTATTTATCAATATGTACACTTATGACTTGCATGTAATATAGATAGTATGTCCTCAGCTTTGTTCGTTGATTCATCTTTTGCAAACATTTGAAGCATCAGAAAGATAGTTTTGAACACCAATTCCTTAGTTTACTATGTGGCAGTTTTTCCTCTGGTGCCCCTTCTCGTGAGACTTACGATATTCTTCAAACTTAGGAGAGCTGAGAGATGCCCGATTACGTAGAAAAGACAAGGAATCTGCGGTGGACCCATAATGCTGTCCGGCGCCGGCCGGGCCGAGGCCAATAATATGGTCATTGCGGTTAAATTGTGGTCCCCAGCCGCCCCTCGAAACTCTCCGGCCCCGCGGCTCCTGACGTGGACAGGGCCCAGTGGATTCTAACTCCTCCGGTCTCGAATTGACTGGGCCCCAATACCAACGACCTGGACAACGTTGGCAGATACTAAGCCGCGTTCTTCACGACGTGGAGTACCGAAAGGGGCCCCATTAGGGAGGCAGAGTCACGCTGTCACTTGGCTCCCGGCGATCACCTATCCCAGTCGAGGTGGAAAATGGGCTCCGTAAGACCAACGCCGGCACCGTTTGACCCATCGCAGCGAGAATTTCTCTTCTTATCCTCCATGCTGTCAAACAGAGAGGGGGAAGATCAACTGTCCGTCTTCCCGAGCGGGGAGAAACATGGCGGGAAGGCAAACCAGATGGGAGGCGTTGTTCTGCACCGCCCTCCTACACACCATCATCGCCCTCTCCGCCGCCGGAGACACCCTCGTTCCCGGCGACCATATGGAAGACGGCAGTTCCCTAGTCTCCTCAGATGGGAGCTTCAAGCTGGGATTCTTCACGCCGGGGAAGTCGAAGTTCAGGTTCCTGGGTATTTGGTACAACCAGATCCCCGTCCAGACGGTGGTCTGGGTGGCTAACCGTGATAACCCCCTGCCGGACAAAACCGGCGTCCTCTCCATCTCCATCAATGGCAGCCTCTCCCTCTCCGACTCAAAGGGGGAGGTCTACTGGTCGACGGCTTCGACGAGGCTTGCCAGGCCAGTTGCCAAGATTCATGACGACGCCAACTTCGCCGTGGCCGGCGCCGGCGAAAGTGGATACGCCTGGCAGAGCTTTGACCATCCCATGGACGCCCTCCTCCCTGAGATGAAGTTGTGGGTCGACCGTCGGACTGGGTTTACCACAAACTTCACTTCATGGAAGTCCGACGACGACCCTGGCACTGGAGACTGCACTTTCTTCTTAGACTCTAATGGGGCTCCGCAGATGATCTTAGTCCAGGGCTCCAAGCGGGTGTGGAGGTCGGGTCCGTGGGTAGCAGGAAGATTCAGCGGCGTCCCGGAGATGAGGAGCTACGGAGTCTTCAACTTCTCCTTCGTCTCAAACGCCAACGAAGCCTACTACCAGTTCAGCAGCCGGAGTACGTCCGTCCTGTCAAGGCTGGTGGCGAAGCCGGAAGGTCTGATACAACGGCTGGTCTGGATAGAGGGCGAGGGCGAGTGGAACGTGTTCTGGTCCGGTCCCAGGGACCGCTGCGACGCCTTCGGCCAGTGTGGGATCTTCGGCGTCTGCGACGCCAACGAGTTTCCTATGTGCCGCTGCCTCCAAGGTTTCGAACCAAAGTCGCCGGAGAACTGGAATCTCAAGAAGGGGAAAGACGGTTGCAGGCGGAGGACGGCAGTGCATTGCAAAAATAGCACCGACGGGTTCCTCTTGGTGGCTAACACGAAGCTTCCTGACACCTCAACGGCGATCGTGATGGACAAGTTGGGGACAAGGGAATGCATGGATGCGTGCCTGATGAATTGCTCCTGCACCGCCTACGCCATTGCGGAGATCATCGACGGCGGCAGGAGCGGCTGCATACTCTGGAGTGGCGCGTTGACGGACCTCCGGGTCTACACAGATGGCGGGCAGGACCTGTTTGTCCGTCTCGCACGAGCCGATCTAGGTACGACCGGAGAAAACTACTTTCAGCTTGGGTGGAAGTAATCTTCTGGGGTTTTAAGAGCCGGCGGTTCTGACCACTGGTAACCCAGAAAAGAGGTCTGATGGGGGCGGGGCTCACCAACGACCTCCAGCCGTTGTTCTGACGAATTTCCTGCCGTCAGCAGCTGGGGAAACGGAGGTCTACGTGCGCTATTTATTTAACTGATTCGAGTATGGCTTCGAGGTAAGGAGGTCGACTCTCGCTGCAGGTTTGTCACCGAGTCAGGCGAACAGAAGACGTATTGTGGCGTCGGTGTCGGCGGCGGCGGTGGTTCTGGTGGGGATACTTCTGTTTGGGTTGGTCGCCGGGTTTGTCCGGCGGCGGAGGAATCGTAGTAATACAGGTTAGAGAGTCCTTTTCTCAGCTCCCTCCCTCTCTTTGCGCCCTCCGTTCTGTCTACCTGTGTGCATGGTCTCCCCCTTGCGTGCGTGTGCATCTCTCTATTTTCTCTCTCTTTCTCACTCTCTCTCCCTCTCTCTCTCTCTCCGTCTCTCTCTCTCTCTCTCCCCTCCCTCTCTCCCGACATTGATGGTTGACACAGCCCCCTCCCTTTTTGTAGTGGTTCTCAGAAGGTACCCGAGCGCGAAGAGCGAGAACTGGGACGAGGAAATGGCCAGGTCGAGGGAGCTGGATCTCCCCATGTTTGACCTCACCGCCATCGCCACTGCAACTGACCACTTCTCCACCGAAAATCTTCTCGGGGAAGGCGGCTTTGGGCCCGTTTACAAGGTCAACCAACTCGCCTCTTTGATTGATTAATCCATCGTTGAACTTGAAGATTAAGTGTTCTAATTTTTTAATTCTTCGTCGGCAGGGGCGGCTTGAAGGGGAGCAAAAGGTGGCAGTTAAGAGGCTGGCGAAGAGCTCCTCACAGGGCGTGGAACAGTTCATGAACGAGGTGAGGATGATAGCGAAGCTCCAGCACCGGAACCTCGTCCGCCTTCTCGGCTGCTGCATCGACGGCGAGGAGAGGATGCTCGTCTACGAGTACATGCCCAACGGAAGCCTCGATTCTATCCTTTTTGGTCAGTCTCTGTCCCTCTCTCTCTCTCTCTCTCTCTCTCTCTCTCTAGCCGTCTCTCCCCACCCCCTTTCCCACCCTCTCTGTATATCTTGATCTCTCCCCCTTTATCTGTATATTTTACCTCTGTCACGCTATCTATCTATTCATCTCCATATCCCTGTACCACCCTTTCTCTCTCTTTCCTCTGGATCAGCATCTATTACCTTCCTTTTTTGTCGAGCTATCGGCTACCTTCTCTCTCTCTCTCTATCTCAGTCTGATGGGAATCCTGTATCGTGGCAGACAAGGCCAAGGGGACGCTTGCGGACTGGGCAATACGGTGGCAGATAATAACGGGGATTGCGCGGGGGCTGCTCTATCTCCACCAGGACTCGCCCTTGAGGATCATCCACCGGGATCTCAAGGCTGGTAATATCCTCCTCGACAACGACATGAACCCCAAGATCTCTGATTTCGGCTTGGCCCGGATCTTCCCTGGCAACGAGACTGAGGGCATCACTCGGAGGGTCGTCGGCACATAGTTAGTACCTGTCTACTCTCCTCTATATGTATCTCCTTTCCTGCACTCTGCTTTTCATCTTCGATTATCAACGGTATCAAGCAGCTGCTGATCTCGTTGCTACAGTGGGTACATGTCACCAGAGTACGCGATGAACGGGAGATTCTCAGTGAAGTCCGACGTTTACAGTTTCGGGGTCCTCGCGCTCGAAATCATCAGCGGGAGGAGGAACAGGGGCATCCTGCAGTCCGATCCCAAGCTCAACCTCCTGAGCTATGTAAATATACAGAGAGAGAGAGAGAGAAAATCTTTTGACCAACCATCGAGGAGATAAACGATATTTTTCAATCTCACCGTGTGGGTGTTCTTCTCAGGCATGGAGTCTTTGGAATGAAGGCAGCGGGCTAGAGCTGGTTGACTCCTCGCTGGCGTACCCCATCCCTATGTCGGAGGTGATGAAGTGCATAAAGATTGCCCTCCTCTGCGTGCAGGACCGGCCAGAGGACCGGCCGGAAATGGCGTCAGTGGTTCTCATGCTTGGCGGTGACAGTGGGGCACCACCACACCCCAAGCAGCCGGAGTTCGTAGTGGCGAGGCAGTGTGCAGCGGGCTCCACAAAGTCAAGCAAGAGGCTCATCTGCACCGTCAACGATATCACCATCTCCAGCTTCCACGGCCGCTAAGTTCCGGTAAATTCGAATTTTTGGTAGTCTGATCAGGGCTTCCATTTTAGGCGGAAATTTTGTGGGGAATTTAATCCTTGAATTTTTTATTATTTAATTCAGTGAAGTACTGAAATTGTTGAGGCAAGGCTCGATAAAACAGCTGTAACCAGAAACTTGTCAGAAAATTGTTACCAACGAATTATTTGAAGTGGAAATATAAGGACTATCAGTTGATGACGTCATAAGGCACAGGAGGAGTTAGTGATAGCGAAATTTGTACTAAATACTTGCCACCACTGAAATGGAAAATAATATCTGCCACGTAATCCAGGCACAGGAGGAGCAAGGATATAAAATAATGATTACTCCGCAAAGAGAATTAAAAGCAACGTACTTTGCCAAAGGAGATTCTTGATTGATTTTCTTGATTCTAATGGCTTGAGATTCACGAGCCTTGTTGGGGATTTTTCAATGGGTGATGATTCGAAGGGAATGGGTGATTTGGGCTGGGTAGCTAAGGTCCAAAAAGTATTTGGATAATTAAAAATATAAGAAGGGGAATGTGTAAATGAGGTCTAGTAGGAAGATGAAATAATAGGATAAAATAATGATGAGAATAAAGAAAAGGTGGGGAGAGAAATAAGAGGGCGTTGGTGAGAGGAGATAGAAAATGGGGTGTATGGCAGCGGTGGATAGAGAGAGAGGGGATGTTCTCTTGGTGAGGAAAATGTCAGTGAATAATTAAATATATACTAAAGGGGTGAAGGGAGAAAAAGGTGGCGGAATGAGAGCATTAGTAGGAGAGAGGGAAAAGAGGGGTTTTGTGACGACAGTAGGAGAGAGAAAGGAGAGGGTTTGCGACAGTGAGGAGATGAAATGGTGGCGACAGGGTAGACGGTAAGGAGGTGGGACGATGGCAATAAGGCAGACGGCAAGGAGGCGGGGCAATAGTGATGGGGTGGCTGGCGAGAAGGTGAGTGGCGGCGACGGGGTAGACGGCAAGGAGGGGGCATGGCGACAACGGGGCAGATGAGGAGGAAGAGGAACGGTGGTGTCGAGGTGAATGGCGAGGAGGCGGAATGGCGGCGAGGGGGCAGATGGCGAGGAGGCAGAATGATGGCGATGGGGTAGAAGACGAGGATGACGTGAAGAGGAAGAGATGAAGGTCCCCCTAATCCAAGTGGGCGAGAAGAAGAGAGGAAGCCCCTGGTTCAAGAAGTAATGAAAAGGAGGAGAGAAACCCCCAGTCCAAGGGGCGATATAGGGGAAGAGATGACCTTCTAATCCAAGAAGGTAAGATAAACTTCTTGATTAATTCTGTAAAATTACTATGTCAAATACAACACGAGTCTTAGCATTTATAAAGGGGAAAGGGAGAGCGGTGGTTTTCCACATAATAGAGAGAGAAAGATAAGGGGTGAAGGAGACACCCTCTCCCAAGAGATGCCATGTGGCACCTCTTGGTTGAAATGACGCCCCATTTTAAGGAGAAGAGGGATGTGAGGATGATATGGCATCTTGTCCTCATTCTTCTTCTTCTTCTTCTTGGGCCATTCTGCGTGGATAGATCCTCTTGCTTGCTGGTAGGGACCCATTGGTCTTAGATCTAATATTCTATGATGGATCCAATAGAGGAGGAAGGTGCTAGTTGACTTGGAGCTAAACTCTTAGAAGTAGAAGAACCTTGATTCTTGCACTTCTTCTTGGTAGGGTTGATTGATAAATCTTCATTATCGAGTTAATAATTAATAAATAATATATTTTTAATCTTAACTCATGATAAATAGACTTATACTTATGTTAATTTATGAAAAGTAGGTTTTAGTTGGTTAATGTGATTTTTTGATTAATTATGTAATTTTAGTCTAAATTTATATGATTTTTATAATCTTATTTTTGAGATAAATAAACAAAAAGAAAAGAAAATAAAAGAAGGATGGGACTCACCAGCCACCTAGGCCCACAAGTGGGTCGGAAGCATAGTTGGGGCAAAGCCGTGAGTTGAGGCTCAAGCGGCTATGGATCAATGGGGGCACGTCTGCGCCACTCTCCTTCCATGTCATCAGTGGCCAGCCGACTATGGGGCAAGGAGCTGTACACATGTGAGAAAGTGACTCATTACTTCAAAATATGATATTATTATATATTCATCTAAAATTGCGATGTACAATTGATTTGGGACTAAACCCGCATCACACTTTTCTCAAAATAGTGTCGATTATTTCAATACCCAAAATACTCCTTTATTATAACAACAATATACTCTGATGATGTCACTTTTTAAGGGTATTAAAGTACTTATTTCACTCTCTCTCATACAAGTGGACGACTGACGTGGGTTCGATTCCTATGAGAGCCAAAACTTGTTTTTTTTTTATTAAATCGTGACTTTTCTACAGATCATTGGTGAAAGATTAAGTTGCCAAAATCACTCGATCATTGACAAAAATCTAGTCAACATGATTTGCAAGCATTGTTACTAAAATTACTGAATGATTTGCGATAAAAGGATCATGAATCCATCAAGTAAATCATCTCTAATTAATCGACGAACAAGCCATCATTGAGAAGAGGACAATCTGTCAGGAGATGAGTTGCCACCTCTTGAGAGCATACTAGATGAATGAAGAGCTTTCTCTTGCTATGCAGATCTAAGGATGAAGCGCTCTGACAAGTGCTTGATAACAATCTATTTATAATATATAATTCAGAGTTTATGCATACAATTTAATTATTTTTAGCAAGCATCATGCCTTGAATTCAATGTAATACACCATTATTATTATTATTTGATTAACTTCCATATAAGAGGCATGATTTATACTTGAAAATTTGATTTACAAACTTAACTCATTATATATTTGAAAATATGCTTTGACATGGACTATTGGTTGCAAATTGGTTTTAAACATATATAAAGCAGTGAACAAGATTTTAATATCATTTGATATTTATTTAGATGGTATTTCAAAAGTTTAGAAGGATGAAAAAGGAGGTCTTATTCATTTTGGACTTATGTCTAATTTGTATTAATGAGAGGGACGTTTGATATTTCGAAAGGCGTCACTTTATCTCACGTGAGATTAAGTGACAAAAAGCCCTTTAAAATATCTCATGTGGGTCCTATGTGAACACCTTTCTAATTAATGAAAATCAATTGCAGGAAATGATGATGGAGAATGTGGTGTATCAAATCAAAATGGCTAAAGGAAGAAAGGATGGCTAACCTGATTTTCAAGAATCATAACTCATCTCAGCCATTCATGAGGCTTTGCAAGAGGAGACCAGCAGAGGGGAGAAGGGAAACCGTCAGCACAACCACCCATATATACTCCTTTCCGATGTAAAATTAGGGTAATCCATTTATGACGAAGGGGACACCAGCAAACAAATGTAGAACTCTTTTAGATCTTTTGTTGAGTGGAATATTCTTGTTTGAGTTTCTTTTAGAAGGTTGTTGAGCCTTTGAAGAAAGTTTGTTGTCTCCCTTCCTCTTTGCTCCAAAGATGAGTATTTAGAGTCTATTTTCTACCTTTTTCACCCCACGAAATATAGTAGAATTCTCATTTTCTTTCTCATCCTCTAATGAAGTACAATTGGAGAACGATCATTCATGGATTCTAGTGTATCTTGGTGAGCACCATCTTGCGATGTAGAACCTACTTAAGCTTGCGGACAGCTACCACAACACAAAAGAGAGCAATCATCTTAAGGGTCAGTCATTCTCACTTTACTCGTGGGTATAGGTGCAGCATCCCGACGAGTAAGTTAAGGTTTATTTCATCAGTTACTCTTATTCTCCTTCAATCATCATGTCTAAACATTCATCCTTCTTAGTTACATTCTTTGCAATTATACATTCAAATTTCTAACTATCCTTATGATCGACCCAGATATTACTAATATTTCATCTAGTAAATTTTATGATAGTTTTAGGTTTATAAATTTTAAACTTGATCTACTTAGGTTTTAATCACAATGATAGTTTTTGAAGATTAGCACCCTACCTTCATCTAACTCCTCTCCATAGGGTGACAGTTGTCGAAGAGCCGCAAAGTCACTATTTTTCACTCTGCTAAGTGATAGCCGCTAGAGACAATTCAACGACCTATTTCATTGATCTATGGACTTTGCAAGAAGATCTAGAGCTTGCCCACATCGTCCTTATCTAGGAAGACCCTTCAAGATTGTGGACACTACATGACAATCTTTTCAAACGCTCAAGATTCTAGTGCATCGCCAATGTATTACCGTTGTGACACACAAACTCTATTTTTCCAACTTTCAACTTAATTTTTGCTTCATTAGAGATAATTTGTGTGATTTAAATTTTCTAAACTTCTCTTCATTTAATTATGATTCTTTTAGCTTTTACAAATCTTAATTTGACCAATTAAAATAATTTGTAATTGATTACGTAAGAATCACTAAGCGGAACTCTATTTTTACCTGATTCACATTTGTCAGGTCTTGACATCATCTTGACATCTGCACTCCTTATTTTCCTTTTTTGTCAATTTTAAATATATTTTATTTTTTATTTCTTAGCCTAAAATTTATAAAAAAATCTTATTCTTTGCAAAAAAAATAGAAATATAACCAGATATTATATTACATCCTTGTGATCGACTTAGAAAATTCTCATCATTTTTGAAACTTTTATTAAATTATAATTGATTTACTTATTAAATAGTAGTTTTAAGTATCCAAAAATTAGTATGCTCTAGTTTTATAAATTTTAAATTTGTGTGATTTATTATACAATGACTAAGTCACATCATTGACCTTAAAGGTTGAGCCTCTAGTTGACCATCTTTCACTAACTTGAGTTGACTTTTTTGAGTGGAATAGTCTTCAATAGATCTTGTGTTCCCATCGATATTCTTCTTAAATATTAAGAAAATTATAATAGATAGAGTAAGAACTCTAAATTTAATCAATCAATTTGATATTAATATCCGTCATGTATGATGATTGATAACTCTCATTAATTACATGATAAAATGCTTAATATTTTATCATTTATTATTTAATTTTACAAAAATATTTATAAATTTCTTTAATCTCAAAAAAATAATATTAAACTTATTTATATGGTTATATTGTTAATTTCTAGAAATTACATGATTAAATTGACTATGAAATATTTTGATAGGATTTTTCAATGATTAGTATTATTATTAAATGCTTCTATGTTAATTGCATTTATTTCTAAATTTTTCCTATTTTTTATGAATTTTCCTAAGCTTATTACGATAAATGATAATAATATAATAATAAAATTAAAATACAAGACTAATTTCTGTTTTTTAGGTTTTCCGCATCAACAATAGATGTAACAAATATAGCGAGAAGTATGGTGGATGATTCGACGAAATAGACGAAATTAACACATAGGAAGATGAAAAAATACTCGGAGGAAGAATGGGGCATCTTCAATCAATCTATCACTCTCTATAACTAATTTCTCTCTCCTCCAGTGACAACGAACACCGGATTCACCTAAATCATTGATCTCCAAAAACTATTCTAGGTAGATCAAGTTTCAAATTTATAAACTAGAAATTGACATAGAACTTATTGGATGAATATTGGTAATATCCAGGTCGATCAGGAGGATAGTTAGAAATTCGAATGTATGATTGTAACGAACATTACTAAGAAGGATGAATGTTTAGATGTAATGATTAGAGGAGAATAAGAGTAACAGACAAAATAAATCTTAACTTACTTGTGGAGATGCTGCACCTATACCCACTAGTAAAATGAGAACGACTAACCCTTAAGAGGATTGTTCTCTTTTGTGCTGTGGTAGCCATCGCAAGCTTGAGCAGGCTATACGTCGCACGATGGTGCTCACCCAGATGCACCGGAATCCACGGATGATCATTTCCCAACTGTACTTCATTAGAGGATGAGAAAGAAAATGAGAATTCCACTATATTTCGTGGGGTGAAAAAGGTAGAAAACAGACTCTAAATACTCATCTTTGGAGCAAAGAGGAAGGGAGACAACAAACTTTCTTCAAAGGTTCGACAACCTTCTAAAAGAAACTCAAACAAGAATATTTCACTCAACAAAAGATCGAAAAGAGTTCTACACTTGTTTGCTGGTGTCCCCTTCGTCGTAAATGGATTACCCTAATTTTACATCGAAAAGGAGTATATATGAGCGGTTGTGCTGACAGTTTCCCTTCTCCCCTCTACTGGTCTCCTCTTGCAAAGCCTCATGAATGACTGAGATGAGTTACGATTCTTGAAAATCAGGTTAGCCATCCTTTCTTCCTTCAACCATTTTGATTTAGTACACCACGTTCTCTATCATCATTTCCTACAGTTGATTTTCATTAATTAGAAAGGTGTTCACATGGGACCCACATGAGATATTTTAAAAGGCTTTTCGTCACTTAATCTCATGTGAGATAAAGTGACGCCTTTCGAAATATCAAATGCCCCTCTTATGAATACAAATTAGACAAAAGTCTAAAACGAATAAGACCCTCCTCTTTCATCCCTCTAAACTTTTGAAATATCATCTTGTTCACTACTTTATATATGTTTAAAACTAGTTTAGAACCAATAGTCCATGTAAAAACACAATTTCTATGTATAAACACATTTTCAAATGTATAATGAGCTAAGTTTGTAAATCACATTTTCAAGCATAAATCATGCCTCTTACATGGAAGTTAATCAAATAATAATAATGGTGTCTTACATTGAATTCGAGGCATAATGCTTGCTAAAAATAATCAAACTATATGCATAAACTTCAAATTATACATTGTAAATAGATTGTTATCAATCATCTATCAGATACAATCGATAGATTTCTTCTCAACTTCTCCTTGATTCAATCGCTACAAAAGCTGAACTTCATCCACTAACTTGTCCCATTCTTCGCACGATAAAATGGCAAAGAATTTCTTTCGAGGATCTTTCTCCAAACACTGCTGCACGCTTGGAGTTGAACCACTACCATCAACTAGTTCCAACAAGTGACAATAATTGGGATCGTCATTCATTGACAAGAGATTGTGTAGGAATCTATTCGGTCCGCCACGCTTACACAAATCGATTGAATTCAGGCAGAAATTCGATCGTAGACCATTCCACCCATTCTTCTATAAAACTTGAATCTTTGCATGATTTTACTTTTTTTTAATTTATAAATAGTTCCATTCAGTTCTATATTGTGTTATGAACAATTTCTATTTTCAAATAAAAGTTTCTTTCTAAGTATTTTGACTTTGCTTTTGAGAAATACGAGTCGATGTATTTCCAGCAACTAGAATTTGGGTGTGTTCTTCATGCCTGATGGCGGCTGACAACATAATCCCTAATTTATTTATTTTAATTATTTTTTAAAATTTTAGTAATTCAAAAATTCAAAAAAATTAATCTATCAATTGGAAATTATAAATATAATTAACTAATTTCTTATCTTCTTTGTGTTCGACCTGGAAAACCACTATAAAATTAAATTATTCTATTTTTCTTATTTTCCAGAATTTATAAATTATAAATTTACTGAATTTTCTTTACAACAATAGTAAATATTCAATCAATGATCTAATGCTATGAGGAATAAACATTTATACCCATATTTAATCTAGCATATTTAGATATGCTAATCATTACTCTCTTACTGTAACATATTCTATAAATATGGACACTTTACACAGCAAGATGCAAAATGAAAATTACATATGATGATATAAATCGTGTATAAATTTAATATTTTGGTTTGAAGTATATTCAAAAAATTCTCATGTGAATATTAAATCAGTACTAAATTAAAATGAATATAGATATTGTCATATCTGTTTTCTTGTTATCCATATTCAAATAAATATTTAATTTCATCTCTTATAAGACTTGGTATTCAATTTATGACTATCAAAATACACGATATAATGATCTAACAATTGATTCCTTGACAAAATGTAAATTTGTTGAGAACAAGATAGAAAATATTTAAATGTTGAAGTTCTAAAGATCTAGAAGCTATTCATCTGATTAAGCCATGAGCTACATTATTCATGAAACCATAATTACCAAAATATGTTTAGAGAATAAGAAATTTGGGCAAGTAAAGGGTGAAAAAAATGTTAAAAGAGGTTTTAAAAGGAAAAGTGGATTTTAAATCTAAAATCATTCATGAGATACTATCAAGTAGTTGAAAGCATTAAATACACTTCTAGGAAGTGAAAGCTTAACTATTTGGAAAGGAAGATATGATTTAGTTATAGATAAAATTTAAAAACTAAGCCTAAAATACACTGTAAGGGCACCTAAAGATAGTGTTGTTAAACCAAAAGTAATTTAGGTTTCTAATTTAGAAAGTTGAATTATCATTATAACAATGTGACTGGAATAAGTGTTTGCAATAAGTGTTTCACTAGAATCCAATAGTCAAATTAAGTTTATATATGAATCATAAATCCATTGAACAAAAAAGTTAATATCTCCATAAATAATGGTGAGGCACTGAAGAACACTCCACATATTTCGAGAGAGAGAAAAACACACATGATCTGAAGAGTACTCACAATAGTATGTCCATGGATGTGGCATAGATGAGTATATAGATATATTTAGAACTATCCATCAGGACTCACTGAGGTAAATCTATAATATTACTAAGTTGAGAGAATACAACAAGTTTGATGATTTCACAAGTCTATTATAAAGAAAAAGTGAAATTTTTCAAGACCATGAACTATAAATTCATTGCTTAGTGATGAGATTAAGAATATCGATGTCCCCCACATCTTAACTTACGAAAGGTTGCTTGAGTGATGATATATAAATTAAAACGAAGGGGTGTAAAGTTGCTTGAGTGATGATACCATACAAAGGAATTTATCTTTGAGCGAGAGAAATCAAGCTCCTGTCATGAATTGAGCCATGTGAACCATGCTCTAGGAGTTTGACGTAAGTTATATAATTATTTTTTTTGAGATAACAGACATGATTTAGAAAAAGTATGAAAATTGGGGCTGGGGTTGATGGTGATGGTGGCTTGTGTACCACCCACTTTTGGAAAGCTTAGTTCTTTGATTCCTTCAAATTGTTACTTGTTCAAGAAATAATTTGAATGATAGATAGATAGATTGACTGAGTTAGAGATTGAGTGAAAACTACGAGAGAGAGAGAGAGAGAGAGAGAGAGAGAGAGAGAGAGAGAGAGAGAATTTCCTTTAGGACGTGGCCTAGGAGTCAATTTGGGAAGATGAACTTAATAGGCACAAACATGACAGATTGAAGAGAGGAGAGATGTTCCCCAATTTTTAACAGCGAGAAAGGAGAGAGAAGAGTGGTTTTAGCGTGCCCATCAGTGTACTATGCCGGGCCGACACCATTAATGTGGGGCCCACCACCTAGTCTAAATTCTGACTCGTCGCTGATGATCTTGATGAGGATGCAGACTACTAACCGGGCCGCGTCTTCACAAAGTGGCATTCCGAGGACGGCAGCACGAGGGGAGAGGGGGTCAGATGTGGCTCCCAGCGGTCGCCTACCCTTGTGGCGGTGGAACACGCAGCACGTGGGTCAAACGCCAGCGCCGTTTGAGCCTTCCTATCGAAGGGTCTGTTCTTATCCTCTAATCTGTAAGACGTGCAGTGGGATGATCCCACTGCCGGTCCTTCCGAGAAGGGAAAAATATGGCGGAAATGCAACCCAGACGGAAGGCCTTGGTCTTCGCCGCACTCTTCCCCACCCTCATCGCCCTCTCCGGCGCCGAAGACACGTTGTTTCCCGGCGATCCCTTGAAAGACGACAGTTCCCTGATCTCCTCCGATGGGAGCTTCAAGCTGGGATTCTTCACGCCGGGGAAGTCGAAGTTCAGGTTCCTGGGCATCTGGTACAACCAGATCCCCGTCCAGACGGTGGTCTGGGTGGCCAACCGTGACAGCCCCCTGCCGGACAGAACGGGCGTCCTATCCATCTCCATCAACGGCAGCCTCTCCCTCTCCGACTCAAAGGGGGTGGTCTACTGGTCGACGCCTTCGACGAGACTTGCCGGGCCAGTAGCCAAGCTTCTGGACGACGCCAACTTCTTCGTGGCCGGCGCCGGCGGAGGTGGGAACGCGTGGCAGAGCTTTGACCACCCCACGGACACCCTCCTCCCCGGGATGAAGTTGTGGGTCGATCGCCGGACTGGGTTTACCAGAAACTTCACTTCATGGAAGTCCGACGACGACCCTGGCACTGGGGACTCCACCCTCTTCTTGAACCCTAATGGTGTTCCGCAGATGATCTTAGTCCAGGGTTCCAAGCGGGTGTGGAGTTCGGGGCTGTGGGTAGGAAAAGAATTCAGCGGCATCCCGGAGAAGAGAAGCTACGAGGATTTCAATTTCTCGGTCATATCAAACGACGACGAAGCCTACTACCAGTTCACAACCCGGGATAAGACTGTCCTTTCAAGGCTGGTGGTGCAATCCAAAGGAATGTTACAGCGGCTGATCTGGATAAAGGAAAAGGGCACGTGGAACGTCTATTATTTTGCACCCAAGGAACCCTGCGACGCTTTTGGCCACTGTGGCATCTTCGGGATCTGCGACCCCAACGAGTCTCCGACGTGTAGTTGCCTACAAGGCTTCGAACCCAGGTTGCAGGATAACTGGAATCTCAGGGACTGGAATGACGGTTGCAGGCGAAGAACGCCGGTGGATTGCAAAAATAACACCGACGGGTTCGTCTTGGTGGCTAACGCGAAGCTTCCTGACACCTCGGTTGAGGTGGTGATTTATAACATGGGAACGGATGAGTGCAGGGAGGAGTGTCTGAGGAATTGCTCCTGCGCCGCCTATACCACTGACGTGTCCATTGAGGGCGGCGGGAGCCGCTGCATACTGTGGAATGGCGTGTTGACGGACCTCCGGGTCTTCGACAATGGCGGGCAGGACCTGTTTGTCCGTCTCGCACGTGCCGATCTATGTACGTCCGGAGAAACCTATTTTCAGCCTGTGTGAACTCGTCGTCTATTGTTTCCAGAGCCCACGGTTCGCACCACCTAGTAACCCAGAAAATTAGTCTATGGGGACGGGACTCACCCACAACCTCTGCCCGTTATTTTGGCGTGTTTCCTACAATCATCAGCGATGGGAAACCGTCGTCGACGCTCGCTGTTTATTTAACTAATTTCAATAAAGCTTCGAGGTAAGGAGGTCGAGTCTCTCTGCAGATTTGTCGCCGAGTAAGGAGAACAGAGGACGGGTGGTGGCGGCGGTGTCGGCTGCGGCGGCGGTCGTGGTGGTAATACTTCTTCTAGGGTTGGTTGCCGGGTTAGTCCGCAGGCGGAGGAAGACTATTAATACAGGTTAGAAAACGCTTTTCTCAGACCCCTCGCCCTTTCTTAGTCTCTCTTTTTGCCTTTTGTTCTCTATCTTCTTGTGTCTCTCGTTCCCTTTTTCTCTCTTTCTCTTTCTCCCTCTCTCTTCCGAATAAATAGTCACAGTCCCGTACCATTTTACAGTGGTGCTCGGAAAATTACCTGTAGTGAAGAGTCAGACCTGGAACGAGGAAATGGTCAGGTCGAGGGAGATGGATCTCCCCTTGTTTGACCTGGCCGTCATCGCCGCCGGCACCAACCACTTTTCTACCGACAATCTGCTCGGCGAGGGCGGCTTCGGGCCGGTTTACAAGGTCAATCAACTCGCATCTTCGACTGACTAATGCCTCGTTGAACTTGAAATTTCGGTCTTTCTAATTATTGAATTCTGGGGTGCCAGGGGAGGCTGGAAGGAAATCAGGAGGTGGCGGTGAAGAGACTGGCAAAGAGCTCCTCGCAGGGCGTGGAACAATTCATGAATGAGGTGAGGCTGATAGCGAAGCTCCAGCACCGGAACCTCGTCCGCCTGCTAGGATGTTGCGTCGACGGCGAGGAGAGGATGCTCGTCTACGAGTACATGCCCAACGGAAGCCTGGACTCCTTCATTTTCAGTCAGTCTCTCACCCTCTACTTCCTTCTCCCTCGCTCCCTTGTTCCCTCTATCCCTCTCTAACCCCCCTCTGTTCCCTTTTCCCACCCTTTTTTTATATCTTGATCTCTTCTGTTGTTATCTCCCTATTTACCTCTCCCTCTCTCCTGCTGCTCGCCCCCTATCTCCGTATACCTTTACCTCTACCTCGCTATCCTTTCATCTCCATATCTCTCTACCACCGCCCTCTCCCCCTCTCCTCTGGATAAGCATCTCTCCTTTTCTCTGTCAAGCTACTCTCTTCCTCTCTCTCTCTCTCTGTCTCTCTCTGTCTCTCTCTGTCTCTCTCTTCCCTCTATCTCTCTCTGTCTCTCTTTTCCCTCTCTCTCTCTCTCTCTCTCTCTCTTCCCTCTCTCTGTCTCTCTCTTCCCTCTCTCTGTCCCTCTTCCCTCTCTCTCTATGTCTCTCTCTCTCTCTCTCTCCCTCCCTCTCCCTCCCTCTCTCTCTGATGGTAGTCCTGTATGGTGTCAGACAAAAACAAGAGGGCGCTACTGGACTGGGCGACGCGGTGGCGGATAATATTGGGGGTTGCCCGCGGCCTGCTCTACCTCCACCAGGACTCGCGCTTAAGGATCATCCACCGGGATCTCAAGGCTGGCAACGTCCTCCTCGATGGCGGCATGAACCCCAAGATCTCCGACTTCGGCCTGGCCCACATCTTCCCGGGAGACGAGACCGAGGGAAAAACTAGAACGGTCGTCGGCACCTAGTTAGTCTCCTGCCTATGTTTCCCTACTCTCTCTCTCTCTCTCTCTCTCTCTCTGTACTTCCCTGCACTTTGCTTCTTGATCTTCAATGCTCGACCGTATCCAGCACCTACTGATCTCCTTGCTGCAGTGGGTACATGTCCCCCGAGTACGCCATGGACGGGACCTTCTCGGTTAAGTCCGACGTCTTCAGCTTCGGGGTCCTCATTCTCGAGATCATCAGCGGCAGGAAAAACAAGGGCATCGTATACTCGGATCCCAATCTCAACCTTTTGGGCTATGTAAGTATAGATCATGCGAATGACCGAGCTAGAGAGACAGTGAGAGACAAAGGAAATCTATCCAACAGGCATGGAGGAGCTTGACGATAAATTTTGATCCCACCATGGGTGAGTGTTCTTCACAGGCATGGAGTCTGTGGGAGGAAGGCAAAGGGCTGGAGCTGGTGGACTCCTCGCTGGGGTACCCCATTTCCATGGCGGAGGTTCTCAGGTGCATAGAGATCGCCCTCCTCTGCGTGCAGGACCGGCCAGAGGACCGGCCGGAGATGGCGGCGGTGGTCCTCATGCTCGGCGGTGACAGGGCGCCGTCACCGCACCCCAAGCAACCAGAGTTCGTATCGGCGAGGGAGCGCTCCGAGGACTCCTCGTCGAGCAAGGGGCCCACCTGCACCGTCAACGACGTCACCCTCTCCGCCGTGCACGGCCGCTGAGCTTCGGTAGTCTGATTTTGGCTTCCATTTTCAGCCAGCTTGTTCGAGAATTTTTCGAGTTTTTATTTATTGAATCAGTGAGGTCCCAAAATCGTTGAAGATTTAATATTTTATGTTGGAAATGCCTAATTTTTAAATGGCCCGTTTACATTCTTACAGCCCCTCTCTCTGAATACAGGTAAGTATGCAGAGAGCAAGAGAGAGAGGAAGAGAGGGCGAGAGGGCGAGAGGGAGAGAGGAAGAGAGAGAGAGAAGGAAAGAGAGAGAGAGAGAGAGAGAGAGAGAGAGGGGGGGGGGAATGTCAACGAGCCTTCGATGATCTCAAGCGTGCCATGACGAGCAAACCGCTACAGCTTCCCAACTTCAACAAACTGTTTGAAGTACGTACTGATGCATCAGACCTAGCGATCAGAGGAGTTTTGATGCAGGAGGGACATGCAATTGCTTTCTCAGTAGATTGTTCATGGTATACACAGAATGTAGCGACGGGCTGTTTTTAGACACAATGAAAACTCACGTTGAAGCAAGCTAGATGGCAAGACTTCTTGGCAGAGTATCTCTTTGAGTTGCAGTACAAGCTGGGGTGCACCAACGTGGTTGTTGGCACCCTCAACCGCAAAGAACTTGAGGTTGTTATTGCAGCCCTTTCACTAGCAACCGGCACCCTTCTAGAGGAGATCTGAGTTACCTTGTAGAATGATAAGGTGCTACAGATAGTGCATCAAGAAACTGCTAGAGAAAGCCACCAAATCTGGATAGAAGATGGAGTCCTCTTTGAACATGGACAATAACCATTCATACCACACACAAGAAGATTAGAAATGCGGATGTCGACGGATGCACACTATGCTCCTTACTCCGGCCATCTTGGACAAGAACGCACAATGGCATTGGTGTCCAATAGTTTCTACTAGCCCAAAATGAACTAGGATGTCAAAGTTTACATCCATTCTTGCTTGGCTTGCCAGCAAGATAAAATTGAATGTGCGAGACTGTAGTGCCAATTTCGTGCTGGCCTTGGGAATTTATTTCCATAGATTTTATCACCATACTGCCAAGAATTATTGGAAGCAATACCATCTTTATCATCTTAGACCACTTCTCCAAATATGAAGTGTTAGTGCCTACACATATGGAGTGCTCGGTGGAGGAAGTGGTCAAGCTCTTCATGAGTCATGTGGCGAAGTCTTGAAGCTTGCCATCAGATATTGTCAGTGACTTTTTTTTTTTTTTTTTTTTGAAGAAGAAGAAGAAGAAGAAATTTGATTGAGTGAGAAAAGTTTGACCTCATTTCGAGGTTACATAAGTGGGATCTCATTCGCACAAGGGGCGAGGATGACATGAAGAATGAAAGACCTCTTTTGAAGAGGGGATGTGATGATACTGGAGATAGACTCCATGGCGTTCATCATATTTGAGGAAGGTGATTGATTTGCATTGGGTTGAAAAAGCCTTTGAGTTCATGAAAGTTGGAAGATCTGCTCAACAGGAGTAAGACGAGAGCTCCATGTTGTGCGCCATGCAATGTTCCTGCAAGACAAGAGTTTGCTGCAGTAAGTAGTTCTAAGAGATAAATAAATTGATATAAAGTGGTGAGAAAAGAGTGATTAGGGCAGTGAGGAGGATAGAACTATGTTGAAGCATGACAATAAGCCTAAATATGAACTTGCCTTGCTAGTGTTGCACGCGCCTAATCCCTCTGGCCAAGATCTTGTTAGTATCATCAGTTGCTGTACTTCCTCTAAGTAGGTAAGGGACCTTTCACCCCACGAGGAATGACTTGGTCTCTGGTTCTAACTCTTTTCTTTTCTCTTATTCTCTCTCTCTTCTTTCTCTCTCCTTGAAGGCCTCTTCTTTTACCCTCCACTAATGCCCATTATTTGGTGTACATTAGGCTAGTGATTAAGGGAAGGGAAAAAGGTTGCCCTTTTTTTTTTTTTTTTTGTTTTTTGGTTTTAGGGCCCTTTCCCTCACCCTCCACTAATTGTCTATGATGGGCTAGTGATTCTGGGAAAAGAAGTAGGCTGTCTCTTTTTTCTTCTTTTTTTTTTTTTTCTGGAGAGAGAAAGGGAGGGAGAAAGAAATAGAGAATCGAGAGAGAGAGAGAGGAGAGAGGGTCAATCCTATGGATATAGATCTTTACCTTCTCATGGGTTCAAGCTGGCTGATGGTACTAATAAGATCTTGAGAGAGGTGCTAGGTTGCCGATTCACAACTAGTTTGGCAGGTCTGATGTGCTATAGACCTATAGTTCAAAAGTGGGCCGATGCCAACATATGCTGATAGTTCTATGTCCTCACTATTTGAGCATGATAAATAGTAGATGTGATGTGATTATGAGGAGAGTAATGATTGGAAGTAATGTACCCGAGTGGATTACGATGTGCCTTGTTGTCCGTGTTGTGCTGATAGGCAAAGTACATTCCACATCGGTGGTATGGGATGAGCGCCATGGTGATGTCATGGTTGTGGCTTGTGATAGACCTGAAAATAGAGACAAAAGAAACACGTACCTGTATCTCCATTGTGGTCTTCAGCGGCCAATAGTAACCACCCCTGATCTCCTCCAAGCAATACGCCACTGTCGTGGAGAGGCCGGTAGTGGAGTGCGGTGTATGCGTAAAGAGGGTATGCCGAGTCGCTCAAGTCTATGAGCACCTCGGGCTTCCAGGGGCATGTCCTGCCAAAAAGAGAAGACTGTCCTCTGACGCGATCTAACTCCATGCGTAGCAAGGGCGTCAGCTGTCTGATTCCCTTCTCGGAATTGATGCGTAATAGTTGTGATGCGTCCTCGACATCGCATGATGTCTGCCCAGATATTCTTGAGCCTCCAATGAGGACAAGAGTCTGCACGTAACATGTCCACTAACACTTTGGAATCAGATTCTAAGACAATGTTAGTAATATTTTGCTCCTCACAAAGAAACAAACCATCCCGTATTGCCATAGCCTCTGCCACAGTATTAGTTTTTATATTATAAAAGTTCGAAAAGGCAAAGAGAATGCATCCTGTACTATCGCGTAAGATACCGCCTCCTCCAGATGATCCTGGGTTGCCTTGAGATGCTCCGTCGACGTTGAGTTTCCACTGTCCAGCCCTCGGTGGTGTCCATCTAACAGATCGGACAGTAGTCCAGGTCTGTGTAGGTATGATATGGAGTCCCCAAAGCCCAAAAGCCTCACAAACAGAACGCGAGCATTTCGTTTTATTTGGCACTAAGGAATGAGTACTCCGAAGCCATTGTGTTACGTGCCTCATAATCTCTGTGGCACGCATCACTTGGCCTGCATATCGAGATGAGTTACGTCCCTTCTATATTTCCCATAACATATATGTTATGGAGATACGGATGAAAGGACAAACCTTGACACTCGTCGGTGAGTCAAAGACTCTCCTAAAGACCTCTAGTGGTGGTCTCGTAGGTCTGTACGAGAGCATTGGAAGCCAATTCGCTAGAAGTTGACGCCAACACTCGACAGCGATATCACTATGGAAAAATAAATGTTCCATACTTTCGTCTGTCGTGATATAGCAACAATGACATTTCCTTTCCACCTCCTGATCGGTGACAATCACTCGATCGTCGGTGGGTAGTCCTCGGTGCATGAACTTCCACAGGAAGAACGAAACACGAGGTGTGATAGCCGGATGCCATATGAGATTTCCCCAAAATGTCTTTGGGGAGCGGTTTCTAAAGTGCTCCCAAGAGGAGCTACAAGAGAAACTGCCATCTATGGTAAGTGTCCAGATAGGTTGGTCCTCAGTAAAACTCATCTCAGTCATGGTGATGGCTGGTAACAAGTCCGACGGTAGTCCATGCCTCTCAATAAGTAGACGAGTGTCTCCTTGGAGAAGCTAGGCTACCGTCAAACGAGGCTAAGAAGATGTGAAAGTGGTAAAACAGGCCAATGGTGTGTCCTCTAGCCAAGTGTCGTACCAGGCACTGATCTCACCTTGCCCCACTCGCCAACGAATAAGAGGCACCATCTCCAACCAATGTCGCTGCCAGTCTGCCCATCGTTTGACTCCTTTGATGTCAGCCGGCTGTCGAGCCCACTCACCATATTTGGCTGACACAAAAGTACCTAGCACCGATGGTGTGGTCCTCATCCTCCAAATGAGTTTCTTTTGAAGCATGTTAAGTACATCTTGAGGGCGCCTAATACCTAGGCCACCCTCATCCGTAGGTCGACATGCTTTCTCCCAAGAAACTCGGCGTTGACGACGAGGTCCCTCAAGTTGTCCATCCCAAAGGAAGGACGTACATATCCGTCTAATAGTCTGTAAGACGGTGTCTAGTACCTCATGGACTGCCAAAAGGTGTAATGGTATGCTCATGAGGACATGGCGTATCAACTGGATCCGTCCTCCAGTGGATAGAAGTTGTAACTTCCATCCTGTTAGTTTCTTCCTTAACTTGCCCACTAGGGCGTCAAAATAGTGTATGCGTCAGTGACTTAGATATGAGATTCATTGATTCTAAAAGGCCTTCTTCAGTCAGATAGGTATTAATATGACTTAATCATTGTATAATAAATCACATAAATTTAACATTTATAAAACTAAAATGTACTACTTTTTATATTTTTAAAAATATTTTAGTATAAATAAATCAATTATAATTCACTAAAAATTTCTAAAAATAGTAAAACTTCTAAATCAATCACAAGGATGTAAGATAATATTTAATAAATTTTAAAACTTTTCTCAAAGAATATGATTTTTAGACAACAACAATGAAAATATTAATTCCCCAATGATGCAATTCAAGCAAAAAAAAAGTTTTACTAAGTGATTCTTTTGTAAATGATTACAGATAATTTAATTGATCAAATTAAGATTTATAAATTTCAAAAGAATCATAATTTAATAAAGAAGAGTTTACATATATGAAATCACACAAAATATCACTAATTTAAGTAAAAATTAAGTTTAAAATATGAAAGGTAGAGTTCTGATTTTGCAATAATAATTACCAAAATTGTGTTCGAGATAGTTG